CAACCTAAAAGCGATAGCTTCCAACCTACTAGCGATGGCCTCCAACCAAAGAGCGATGGCCTCCAACCTAAAAGCGATAGCTTCCAACCTACTAGCGATGGCCTCCAACCTAAGAGCGGTGGCTTCCAACCTATGAGCGATGGCCTCCCACCAAAAGATATTGTCCAACAAAAGCTTGTCCAAACACTTGAACTGCAGCCAACTGGCACTGTGTGAGCCACCTGCGCTGAGGGGTCAGTGACTTGAAGGCGCAACCGCGCACAAAATCCCCTTTGCAAATGGTAGGGCTTGACAAACAGGGACATCAAACGGACCATGGAACTAAGACAACAGCAACAAAAATGATTCTTGCTATTATTTCCGGCCCCGTACAGCCAATGACAGAACGTGTTCGTTTTCACAGAATGAAGCCACTAATGCAGCCCCTGGCAAGATCTATAAAGGGTCTCACAGACAAAAAGTGTCTAGGTCCGTGAGGCTACCCGTTCGCCTTGAAATGCAGGACGGATGGAAGGCATGCCGACATGGCAATTGAGCAACTTGCACCTGACGCGTCGTCGCTGAAACCGCCGTCTGCGGAACTGGCCGTCGCTGAAACCGCGATGCGTGAAGACTGAGATCCAGTCATTGGGTGCCACCTCTGCCAAACAAATGCCACACCTGAGAAAATTGAAAAAAGCTCCCTTGGACTCCTATAGCAAGGGTAAGTCAAGACCACGTACAAAAATATAAACATGTCACGAGCCCAGTAGTGAGGGGTACCTAATGATGAATATATACATATATATAATATATAACAATGCATGAATGTTGTGCTATTGACTCATTGACCCGATCATACATACTAGTAGGTCAATTTCCGAGGCTCCCGGCTGTGTACACTCACATTCTTTGGCGAGCTGACGAGGCAATTTCTCCACCTCAGTCAGCACCAAGTTCCAGCTGCAATTCCTGGTTTCTTAAACATTGTGATACATTGTGAAACCATGTGGATCTGTTTGACGTGAATATCTGGATTTCTTTAGAAGTGCTGAGATCCATGCACTTTGTCTGCCCATGGTATTCTTTTTGGAAACCCGTTCATCGAGTTTATTCAGAAGGTCGTAGTCCTCAAGATGCATTTCTGTCTCTTTGACTCAAACAAAAAAAATACAATTCTAGAAGGCCTCCAACCTACTAGCAATGGCCTCCAACCTAGTAGCGATGCTTACCTAATAGCGATCTTTATCAGCGCATCTCAATGTGACACATCGAACTCAAGCGGCCTCGGGATTTAAATCTCTGTACATGAGCTCTATGACCTTGAAGCAAGATTCTCTTGGAAACAGTCTTGCACAGGGTATTAACACATCGTTGATACATACAGGTCATTTAACAGTAAATAGATTGATTCCTTGCCTCCTCTTGGAAAAGTCCACATGGAAGGATAATGTCATGATAGCCATCTCCATCAGGAAGACCTCTCAGATTCCAAAATGGAACATCACGCAACCTCCGAAACCAGTAACGCCAGTTGTAGGTGAGGCACTCTTTTTGTTTCGACTGCTCCATACATGCAGCATCAATCGTGACTCTCCTCTCTCTTTCGTGCACCTGGAGCCTCAAAGTGCCGCCCCCGCTGCAGCAGCGATACGCCGTGGGAGCGCCGGCGGCTTGAGAAACCTGCCGTTCGGCACCGACGAAAACGCCGCGGCGACCCCGCAACGCGCAGCGAAGCATCGGCGAGTGAAAGAACGCACAACCCCTAGTAGCGTCTTAATTCTTGTTCATTCTCATTTCTAGTAGCTTCTAGTAGCTTCTTGCTCCTAGTAGAAGGCCAGGAGCCCCTAGTAGCGTCCTTGCTCCTGATAGGATGTCCCTGTCCTGGAAATGGACGCCCACTGATAGGAACAGCACCAGGAACCGTGCCAGGAACGGCACCCTGCGTGTTTCCACAGAGTTTTGATGTGAAGGATTGAGAAAGAATGTTGACATGCTGTGGAACACTTCATTCGACACTGAGGTTTGGAAAATAAGTGAACTTTGGTCACTTCTTGGCTGCGGGTCTTTTCTGCAGCAGTGAGTCGCTGGTCTTTCGAAGTATTTCAACAACAAATGGTGTCCAAGTCATCGTTTCGAGCGATGCGGCTTTGCCGCAAGGCCAACAAAAGCATGTCCGTAGCGGACACCTCAGCAATTGACTTAAATGCACTGCTACACATAAAACCTTCTCATTTTCACACAGCCCGACATGTGCGGCCCGCGGTCTTTTGGAAAATATGTCTACACTGTGGAATGAACTGCAGACTCCATCACCCCGCATCACCAAACAGAAAAAAGGTTGCCTGCCATGCATCAACTTCTGCTGACATGGCTAGATGACATCGTCCAATGCAACACTCAGTTGCACAACGAGCAAACAATTATGGCCTGATGGATGCATGTACTCTTTGGCTTGCCCAGGGCCTGGACCAAACTCCTAGCAAATGGCCCACTGTTTCAACGGTGACCAGAAAACACAAAAATAACTCGACAGAGTGCGTGAAATGTACTTGTGTGCAGTTGCCTCCGCGTGTCGAAGGTGCGATGCGTTTGCGCGCTAATGCTTTTTCCATGCCGAGTCCGAAATATACTGCACCAACACATATGTTTCCAAAACTGAATCGCGCTAGCAGGTGAATGGCAGCCGGGGGTGGGGGGACTGATCCATGTCACGCCCCCTAACAGCCCTTCCACTTCGTGGGGTCTCTAAAATCTTTCAGGTGCCAAAACACGCAGAAATAATCCGCCCGCACCGTTATCAGAGATTGCAAAACATGCAAGCCTATTTTTGTTCTGGCGTGTCCTTGGAAAGCGGTCGAAAAATGAGCAAACAATCGGTGATGTCGGAATTGCTGCCCAAGTCAAAGTGCATTATTGACATCCTGTGTGCTTGCTCCGGTGGC